CAGCCTCCCAAGTAGCTGGGACTATAGGCACATGCCACGATATCAGGCTAATTTTTTCTATTTTTAATAGAGACGGAGTCTCGCTCTTGCTTAGGCTGGTCTTGAATTCCTGAGCTCCAGCAATCCTCCCTCCTGGGACTCCCAGAGTGCTAGGATTACAGGTGTGAGCCACCGCGCCCGGCATGGACATATCTTTTTAAAAGACACAGAGTTAAGATTAAATCAAGTATAACTGGGAAGCATAAAACTAGATGGTGGGAACTGGGTAAGGAAGTAAGATTGAATCAGCAGAAAACAAATTTTAGAGGACTTAAAGGCTTTACCAAGAAGTCTTAATTTCATCCTGTAGGCAGCAGGAAGGTTCTGGAGGTTTTTCAGACAGGAAATGAAGACATCAAATCTCCCACCGAACACTGCTCAAGATCACACTCCTCTTTCTGTCCAGCCCCACAGTGGTACACCTTGTCTCAGGAGGGTCCATTGAGCTCCTATGACAACCTCTCCCTCTTTGCTGGCCTCCCCACTTTCAGACTTCCTCCTTTTGCTTCTTCCATTTCTTTGACTTCATAATTTGACCGCATCCCATCATGGTCTAGGTTATGTTTGTTCCCCTGGCATTCTATGCTTACCTCCACCACTTTAATTGATTCACGAGTTCATTCATCAACTACTTAGTGATCCCCTACTGCCTACTGCACATTTGCCAGGGGCTGAGCTCACAATGCTTAGCCAAAACAAAACTAAAGCCTGCCCTCATGTAGCCTAGAAGCAGAGAAGGAAGCTATATTTTAGTATGCTATTTTTCACTGTGGAATATATTACACTGTATTCCAACTGTTTTCTTTTATCTTCCAAAAATATTATGAACTCATAGTATCCAGCATATTGTAGATGCTCAATAAATGTTTATTGATTGAATGAATGCATGGATACTTGGGAGAATATGACACATACAGCCACAAGAATTATCATCAGACCTGGATTGATCATGGCACTCTCGTCCTTTCTGACAATGACTAATCACAATTGTAAACTCTAGGCAAACTTTTTCTGCAAAGTGATAATAAATACTTTAGTCTTCACAAGCCATATGGTGTCTGCCACAACTGCTCAGCTGTGCCATCATGGTGCAAAAGCTACCACAGGTAAATAAATAAATTCCAACTGTGTTCTACTAATGTTACATTTACAAAAATGGGCAATAGGCTGGATTTGGCCCAGGGGCCCTTGTTGGCCTAGCACACAGTAGGTTGACAATAAATCTCCCCTGCTTTGCTCAGTCATGCTTTTTTTGCCTTTAAATCAAATTGGCAGATATTTATTGAGAACTTGCTCTATCCAAAGCACAATTTCAGGTACCACTAAAACTATTATAAATCTTCCCTGATATCTCTTTCAACCACTAGTTCTCAAACTTGGCTATAATACAATTTACCTGGGAGCCTATAGGTACCGATGCTTGGGTCCCAACACTAGGTTTTGTTTTTTTGTTTTTTTGAGACAGAGTCTCGCTTTGTTGCCCAAACTCAAGTGCCATGGTATCAGCCTAGCTCACAGCAACCTCAAATTCCTGGGCCCAAGCAATCCTCCCGCCTCAACCTCCCAGTTAGATGGGACTACAGGCATGCACCACCACGCCTGACTAATTTTTTCTATTTTTAGTAGCGACAGGGGTCTCGATTTTTCTCAGGCTCGTCTGGAACTCCTGAGCTCAAGCGATCCACCTGCTCGGCCTCTCAGAGTGCTAGGTTTACAGGCATGAGCCACCACAACTGCTGTAGATATTCTTATATGAGTCACAAAGAGTAGCCTGGGCATGAGAACTATCCCCAGCAAATTTGAGAATCACTGCTCTAGACCAGGACTTTGGCTCCACTCAAGTCAGGATAACCCCTTCCTTACATCTTTGCATCTGCCTCTTCTTTAACAGTTAGAGCCTACATGCACATCTTTATAGAGCTAGAGTTGATTAGGTTCTTGCGTATGTTAGTGACTCATATTTGAATATATCTTAGGGAAAGTGGAACAGAAGAGAATGAAACAACCATCTTCCTTTGTGTTGTACATTTATTGTTTAACCACGAGGTATACATTCCTGAGATGGCAACTATCCTGATTTTTATTGGGGGATCCGCCTCTGCCCCACCCTCAGTCCACTTGGCCTGCTTGAGACCTTTATCAAATCCTGACCCTAGAAATCCTTACCCCCTTCCCCCCCCCCCCATCCATTCCCTTTTGAAGGAGTATATACTGCCATCTAGAAGTTCTTGAAACCAGTGGCTTGGATCTCTCGGCTGCAGTTAGGGTTGAGTAGAGCTCACTATCTGAGTGAGTGTCATGATTCTGTTTCCTAGGACGGCTGAAGCAAAAACACTGACCTTTTCCTGCTGGATTGGAAACTGAAACTGATAGAAACTACGGTTCCTAGAGATTCATAGCTATTTTACAACCTCAGAAAGAAAGCTTCTTGAAGAACAGAATAACAGAGACAGACAACATTTTGAGCCACAGTGTTTAGCTGTCTCTCAAGTCGGGTGCACCATGAAACTGCTCCGTGAGCCAGCAAATTCTCTTTTGCTTCTGCTTCTGCCAGATTTGCTCATTCTACCAGATTTAGGTGTTCTGTCATTGGCAAGCAAAAAAAAAATCCCAAACTAGTAGAGCCTCCTTTCATCTCATCTCCTTCAGAACTAAATCTAACCACCAGTATACACAGAGATTGTATGCCACAATCAAGCACCAATTATTCATTCAACAAGCATGTATTCAGGGCCTAGGATACAATGCATGGTCTAGGAAGAGGAATGATGTCAGTACACCATCACTAAGAACTGCACAAATGTTTGTAGAATGAATACCCCGTAACAAAACCATACTTCTACTGTATATGAGGGTCTAGGCTAGGTACTAGGGACAGACAGGGCCATAAGACTGAGTCTGTATTTTCCAGGGTTTGCCATGAAATTGTAGATGGCATGCACAAAAAGGATAGGCAGCAATCTGGAATGTTAGATGCATGGATTCTCAAGGAAGAACATAAAACTCAAAGTAAGAAGCTTAGGTAGAAAATCTTAAGTGAGCACCAGTACAATAACATTTTTGTTTCCCTTTGAAAGGAAGAAGGACCAAGGGCTTTGAAAGTTGTTCTGTCATTTTTTTTTTTTTTTAATAAACGGGGTCTCACTACATTGCCCAGGCTGGAGTTCAGTGGTATGATCATAGGTTACTGCAACCTCCAACTCCTAGACTCAGGGCGATCATCTCACTTTAGCCTCCCAAGTAGCTAGGACTACAAGTGTACACCACCATGAACAGTTAATTGTTTTTTGGTAGAGGTGGGTGTCTTGCTATGTTGCCCAGGCTGATCTCCAACTCCTGGTTTCAAGCAATCCTCCCCCCCTCAACCTCCCATAGTGCTGGGATTACAGGTATGAGACACCACCATGCTCAGTCTGTTCTGTCATTTTTTTTTTTAGTATTGGAAAAAAGCTATTTTGTGCGTTTTATCTGCTTACAAATTAATCTCACTATTGTTTTTTTAATTTAAGCACTACGAGATAAATAAATGTTATAGAAATCTCATTCATTCATTCAACACTGTTTATTGTGTGCCTATTATGTGCTAGGCACCATTATATACACTGAAGTTTTAGCAGTAAACCAAACAAAGTTCCTATAAATTATATTCTAGTGTCTACAAAGTAAAAAGTAAACTTTCTTGTTCAATAGTCACTTTAAATAGGTGATCATCCTATAGACCTTGCAAACATAGATACATTTATTTATTTGTTTTTATTAAACAAATTTATTTGTTTTTATTAAAAAATGATAATATACCAAACTTAACTTTTTTTGATACTTGGTTTTTTTCTTAGCAATATACCTTGGACTGGTTTCTCATTAATAAATATAGATTGGCCTCTCTCTTTTTTATGAGTTATGTAGTATTCCATTGTATTTAACCACTACCCTATTCATTAATATTTGATTGTTTCCAGGTTTTCACAATAATGAGCAGTGTTGTGGTAAAAATATGTGTATCATCCCTGTAATTTTTCAAATACTCATAAGAAAAGTGTTAATTAAAGTTCTCCAAAATAAAAAGATACAATTTCAGGTCAAGACTTTATCTTCTACTTACTTTTTGATTCATCACTGACTTACTGAATATTTAATAAGATTTTTTACAAGTGATTAGAAAATATCTTTAAAATCCATTAATATAAATGCAGAATTAAAAAAGAAAAAAGATAAATAATCAGTCGCTATTTCCACAAAGTCTTCTACGTGCCCGGGACTGTTCTAAGCCTCAAAAAAGAGTAACCTATATTTTTCTTGAAATAAAGTGTCACCACAGTTGAAATGGACAAGAAAAGAATCAGTACTTTTCTAATGAAAGTCCTACTATTATACGAAAATATGATTTTTCTTTTCATGAAAGAAAATAGTTGAGATATCGATATAGGCTTTATTTAAAAAACTGTCATGACTGTTTCAAATAGATTTCAAGAAACAAGAAAAAAATCATCTTACTGAATAGAAACACACAGCCATAAAACAATACCTGCATTAGAACCTCATTTGACATTCGAATTCTGCCTCCAGATGTTCCATCCAGTTTCCAGCTTGGCTACTTCCAATATTCAAAATTATTTATGTCTTTTTGTTCACATAAAATTGTCTCCAGTCTATTTCTGAATAGTCCAATATTACATCAATGCAGAAAGACATTCCAATAACAGTTCAATTAACAAAGCAAGCTGTTTAATTAATAAAAACAATTTTTTCAAGAAGAAACTGAAGCAATTTCGTTATGCATGCCTCATTGTGCATTTTAATTTCTTGGTTTTAGCCTGTGATCACTTAAACACAGCCATCAAGCAAATCTAAATGGTTAACTGTAATTGCAAGATTATGCCTTGTGCATTTTGCGGTGTATAAAATGGAGCGTAAGAGAAAATAAACATAAGTGAAAGCAACAAAGACGTTTATTCACTTACCCTCTTCATAACCACAGCCAGCGTAAATTTCACTCAGCCTTCGGCCATTGAATTTTGTCCTGAAGTTTCCATGCACCACACAATCAGATAAACCCCAGCTCGTGGAAGTAACTAATGGAAATAGTGCTGTAAAATGATTTGCCAAACAAATTTCCATGTGCTTAACCTAGAAGGGAAAAAATAGTAATGTGAACTAAGTAAGAAGTTTGTATCGGAATTTAAACCAGAGGGTGTAATTTCACTTTTAGCAGGAACTTGTGACTAAGATCGCCTGGTAAGGAAATGATTAACACTCCTGTCGTCATCTGCTTGAGCTCTCCAGCTGCAAAAAATCTGCTGAGGGAACCTGATCAATCCTGGGCATGTATGTTTTGAATACACTGTCCACTGAGCTAGCATTTAGCATGCTGAATTCAACTTTGGTGTTAGGTTATTCTAAATAAAAATACATTTAGAACCTATGCAAACTTTATTAGTGGTTATTTTTACCCAACTATTGCTCTAAGAAGTTCTATGTATTTGTTTTTTAATATTTAGAATAGAGTCATTTCTAGGCAACAAAGAGAGCAGGGAATCTAAAACAAGAAGATGTGAGTTCGAGTGCTGACTTTATGATTCATGCAACAACCTTCAGCACATCTTTAACCTTTTTGAATGTCAGTTTCCACCCCTGCCAAGCAGGAACGATTCTCATTTCACCAAGTGCCACCTTCACGCCATGGGGCACATGAGTCGCAGAATATTTTGTAATAAAAGGTTTTATTGTTACCTTTCATTTTTGTGCCCCACATGAAAAGATGGATTATTGCTCAGACCCTTATTCTCAAAAATCCCCAAAGTTTACAAGTACAATTAATTAGCAGGATCTCTCTTCCTTCAACCTTGTCTTCCCAAATATGCTCATTTATAAAAACTTCAGTGCCCTTTTGAAATGCTCGTTGCGTGCCAGTAGTTACTCTTCTGGACGCCAGGGGCAGGGAAAAATGAGGGATAACTAATTCATCAGTATATATTAATATAATATGGAGGCACTAGAAAATCATCAATGGATTATTATTTTTTTCTTTAAATGATTGTTATGAATAGTAGCTACCACACAATCAGTCCTTCATAAATGCATCTAGAAGAAAAACAAAAACAAAAACAAAAACAAACTCACCCAGAAAAGAGAAATGGCAGATTTATTTACATAAGCTCCTGTGCACACACCCAACATCTTGTGAACAGGAGCCTGAGATGGTATCGCAAACACATGCCTTCTCTTAGGCCGTACCGTGGAGTTTCACTCCACCAACAGGGCAAAGTAGATTGTGCATTTCCTGCCAAATGGCTGACGAAAGTCAAAACTGGATCTCAAAAACAGTGCCATAAAAAAGAACTTAAGAGCTAGTTGTCAGTTGTGTCTATTATGCTAACAATGTTATTTTCCTGGTAGCCCTTAGATTGCTGATTTAGAAGTAGATTGATGACTTATCATCCTTCCTGAGGTATTTTCTATGAATTGCCAAGTTAGTTTGAAGAACTCAAATGCATCTTCCTCTCCTCACCCCACCCCCCACCAAAGAAAGCAAGTTTTAACTATTTCAGTGCTGTAAAACTATTCTAAATAAATTCAACTAGTTCCTACCTCTATACTCATATGTTGCTTTTGTCTGTAACATGTAACAAGTATTCTGAGTGTGTTTTAAATGTTCTATGCCTGCTCTCCCCAAGCCCCAGGCCTGACCAGTGACCAGTATCCATCGAGTCCCTGGCGTGTTAGCACAGCGGGAGGTGAGCAGCAGGCCAGTGAGGCTTCATCTGCATTTACAGCCCCTCTCCACCCTTCCCATCACTGCCAGAGCTCCACCACTATCCCCTCCCCACAAGGAGCTCCCCCTACCCCTGTTCGTGAGAAAATTGTTTTCCATGAAACTGATCCCTGCCGCCAAAGATATTGGGGACTGCTGTTCTATGTAATACCTAAAACGGTGGGCACTGGAAAAAGAAACTGAGCAAGATGGCTGTCTAGAGGATCCCAGCACTCATCCCTTCCACAAAGACAGCCAGAACAACAAATAAACAACTCCTTAAAGAAAAGGAGAGCCACCAGAATTTGCCAAAGAAGTCACAGAACCCCTAGTATCATGGAAACTCAGGACATCCACATACAGAACAGAAGGATACACCAGGACCCCACCACCCCTTCCCTCAGCCAGCATCAGCTGGGAACCAGAAGGAACTTCTCCCTATAGCGAAAAGGGAAGCAAGAAGATCCCAGCAGCCCCCACCTTGGCTGCCTATGGTCCTCGCCACTGGAGTTCCCGGCAGTTCTCACAGGCACTAAGCCCAGCTGAGAGAACTGCCCAGAGGCGATACTATGTGCTTCCCCCAAAGAAGAAGCAACACTGTGCCTTGCCCTCTGTGGCCTGACTGGCTACTGTACAACACCATCTTGGAACTGGAACTACTGCTGGAATTTGTTTTGCTTCAGGAGTGAGTAGACATGGCTCCTTTCCATCCCTAAGGCAACCAATCCCCAAACCACCCGAGCCCCATGGCCTGACATTCCCAAGCTAAGCTGTAAGCAACTGTTATACTCTTCCATGTAGTAAGCAGTGATGGAACTGCTCCACCTACCCATCACTCCACCCTCTCAGCCAGAGCTGAATCTGCACACTCTCTCCTGGGGAAATGGTGCTTTGGCAGAACAGCTCCATCTACTGAATCCCTGAACCCAAGCTGCTTAGGGGCTGCCTCAGAGTCACAGAGCCTGGTGCTGTGGGCAGCCTACATCCAAACATGCCACAGAGGGCAAACTTGCACCCCAAGACCCAGGTGCCACAATAGGTTCACAAGACCCTGAGCCTAGGATCCTGGCCCCACCGCTGCCCCAAGCACCTGCTCCTGGAACACAGTGCCTTGAAAGCTGCTTACAGGCCATGGCAGACCTGATACCAAAAGGGATCCCTCAGCTATGTCTCCCCATTGTGGGAAAAATGAGAATAGGAGGACCTCAAAGCCCTTGCCACTGGGGACATTAACAACCTATGATGATGATACAGTCACTACCACAAACTTCTACAGCCTAGGCTTCTGAGGTATCCACAGTTAAGAGTGACATTGAATGCAGCCAAAGAGGCTGCATGGGGACTATGCCACTGCACCTACCCAGAAACAAAGTCACCACACCCTTCCCTACTGGCACACTAAGAACTGATTGCAGATAAAATCTTTCCCTACAAAAACCACTTTTGAAGATTCGGAAAAGACAATTATTCCACCAAATGCATAGGCATTAACACAGGGACATGAGAAACATGAAAAAGCAAGAAAATATGATACTACCAAAAGAACATAATAACTCTCAGTAACAGACCTCAGTAAAAAGAAAATCAATGAATTGTTGGAAAAGAAATTCAAAATAATAATCTTAAGGAAACTCAACAAGATATGAAAAAATGAAAATAGACAATTTAACAAAATCAGAAAAATAATTCATGATATGAATGAGAAATTCAATGCTAAGATGACTATCATAAAAAAGAACCAAATTGAAACCCTGCAGCTGAAGAATTCAATGAATGAAATAAAAACACACTAGAGAGCTTTAATCTCAGATTTAATAAAGCAGAAGAAGAATATGTGAACTTGAATATAGGTCATTTAAAATTACTCAGAGAAGAAAAAGTAACAAGTATGAGAGAGAGTGAAGAAAAGCTGTAAGACTTATGGGACACCAGTAAGTGAACAAATATTCTACTTGTAGGAATTTCAGAAGGAAAAGATATGGGAAAGGCATAGAAAACCTATTTAAACAAATCATAGCTAAAAACTTCCCAAGACTGGGGGGCTACATGGACATTCACATCCAGGAACCTCAAAACTCCCAAATAAATTCAACCCAAAGAGTTCTCACTGAGGCATATTATAGTCAAACTGTCAAAATTCCAAGACAAACAGAGATTTCTAAAAAAACAACAACAGGGCCGGGCGCTGTGGCTCACGCCTGTAATCCTAGCTCTTGGGAGGCCGAGGCGGGCGGATTGCTCAAGGTCAGGAGTTCAAAACCAGCCTGAGCAAGAGCGAGACCCCGTCTCTACTATAAACAGAAAGAAATTAATTGGCCAACTGATATATATATATAAAAAAATTAGCCGGGCATAGTGGCGCATGCCTGTAGTCCCAGCTACTCGGGAGGCTGAGACAGCAGGATTGCTTGAGCCCAGGAGTTTGAGGTTGCTGTGAGCTAGGCTGACGCCACGGCACTCACTCTAGCCTGGACAACAAAGTGAGACTCTGTCTCAAAAAAAAAAAAACATCTAAAAAAAAAAAAAAAAAAAAACAACAACAGAAAAGCATTAAGTCACATATAAGAGTATTCTCATTATACTAACAGCAGAATTCTCAGCAGAAATCTTACAGGCCAGGGGAGAATTGGATGATATATTCAAAGTGCTGAAAGAAAAAATTTGGTAGCCAAGGATAGCATACCCAGAAAAACGGTCCTTCAGAAATCGGGGAGAAATAAAGTCTTTCCCAGACAAGCAAAAACTGAGAGAATTCATCAATACTAGACCAAACTTACAAGAAATGCTCATGGGAGTTCTGTATCTGAAAGGGAAAAGACAATAACCACCATTATGTAAACATGGAAAGGTATAAAAGGAAAAAAAGAAAAAATCAAACTTTATCACACAAAACTGCAATGATAAACAATAAGAGAGGAAGGAAGGATATACAAGACAACTAGAAAACAACAAAATGGCAGGAGTAAGTCTTTACTTGTCAATAATAACTTTGAATGTAAATGAATTAAATTCCCCACGTAAAAGATATAGACTGGCCAAATAGATTTTTTTAAAAATGACTCAACTATATGCTACCTATAAGAAACTCACTTCACCTATAATGACACATATACACTGAAAGTAAAGGGATGGAAAAAGAAATTCCACACAAACAGAAACCAAAAGTGAGCAGGAATAACTATATTTGTATAAGATAAAATGACTTTAGGTTAAAAACTATAAAACGAGACAAAGAAAATCATTATATAATGACAAAGAGATCAATTCACCAAGAGGATATAACAATTCAAACATATATGCACCCAACATTGGAGCACCCAGATATATAAAGCAATATTAGATCTAAAAGGAGAAAGAGAGTCCAACACAATAATAGCTGAAGAATTCAACACCCCACTCTCAACATTGGACAGATCATCTAGACATAAAAGCCAACAAAAAAAAAAATTAAATTTAAACTGCACTTTAG